GGGGCAGGCCTCACCAGCGGCTGCCGGCGGGCACCATCCACCTGGGCCCCTGCCCCTTCAGGGGCTGCCCCCGCGCCGGGATCCTCCGCGCCCAGCGGCTGCTGCAGGACGGGCCCAGCCAGGGCAGCCCCGGCCAGCGCCAGAACCAGCAGCAGCACCAGCCCCCGACGCCTCATCGTCCTCCCAGGCCGCGTCTCCTCCGCCACCCGCTCCCCTGGCAGAGGGGCCTCGGCCTTCCGTGAGCAACTGGCACGTACGAGAGACTTTAACCCGGCTTCCCCTCTCCCACAGGGGGAGGGTCCTTGGGGGTTTAGGAACCTCCTGCCTCCCCCAGGGAAACAGGAAAGAGCTTCGTGTGCAATGCACCAAACCGGCCCCTTAACGGCTCCTCCGGGGGGTTTCCTCACCGCAGGGAGGCCAGGAGCAATAGCTGCTTTGCAGCGTCGGCCTGAGACCCTGGGCCCGGCCTGAGCCCCTCCTGGGCTGCTGGGGGTGGGTGTGAGGGGCAGGAGTTAGGACAGGCCGTTCCATTCTGTTACTTGTATGTGACCCCTTGTCTCTCACTCTGAGCGGTTCTCATAAGAACATACTGGGGCAGACCAAAGGTCCATCTAGCCCAGTAGCCTGTCTGCCGACAGTGGCCAGCACCAGGTGCCCCAGAGAGGAATGATCAAGGGATTTGTCTCCTGCCATCCCTCTCCAGCCTCTGACAAACAGAGGCCAAGGACACTGTTCCTACCCCCTGGCTAATAGCCTTTTATGGACCTAATCTCCATGAAATTATCTAGCTCTTTTTTAAACTCTGTTATAGTTCTAGCCTTCACATCCTCCTCTGGCAAGGAGTTCCATAGGTTAACTGTGTGCTGTGTGAAGAGGAACTTTCTTTTATTATTTTTGAACCTGCTGCCCATTAATTTCATTTGGTGTCCTCTAGTTCTTATATTATGGTAACAGGTAAATAACTTTTCTTTATTCACCCTCTCCACGCCACTCATGATTTTATAGACCTCTATCATATCCTCCCTTAATCTCCTCTTTTCTAAGATGAAAAATCCCTGTCTCTTTAGCCTCTCTGGGTAGAGCTGTCTCTTTTTCCCGCCACCTGTGGTGACCCACCCACATTCTGGGACTGTGCTACCTGGAACTCCTTGGTGCAGGGAACTGATCAGCCAGCATGGGCCATCAAACCCACTCTGACAAGCCTCACCTCCCCAGTTCCACCCCAATGAAGGCTGAATGAGGGTTCAAGTAAGGTGCTCTTATGGGTTTTCAAATAAGGACCCAAACCAATAGCTTATGGATTTATTCAGGGGTGTGGGAACCTTTTTGGGGTCGGAGGCCACAGACCTAATGGCCATTGATGGACCTAACCTCCATGAATCTATTTGCTCTTTTTTCAACCCTGTTAAAGTTCTAGCCTTCACCGCATCCTCTGGCAAGGAGTTCCACAGGTTGACCATGTGCCGAGTGAAGAAAAACTTCCTTTTGTTTGTTTTAAACCTGCTGCCTATTCATTTCATTTGGTGACCCCTAGTTCTTATTTTGTGGGAATAAGTCAATAACTTTTCCTTATTCCCTTTTTCCACACCCCCTGTGACTGGTCCCCAGCACTCCCTGCCGAACTCTGAAAGGCCCTGTGCCCACTGGGCCAAAGAGCCACTGCTTTTCTGCCAGGCCCGCCCCGCGCAGATCCTCCTTGCCCCACTTCTAAAAGCGATGGGGCCCTGGCTCTGCCCTCCCCCCTCTCCGATTCCCACACCCCTGCAATGGACACAGGGAGACGGTGTGTCTGCCCCTCCGGGCAGCCAGGCTCAGCTCACGGCTTTTATTGGGGCGAGGGAAAACATGCAAAGACAAGGGAGCCGCAGGGCTCGTCGCCCGGCACGCAGGGAGCTAGCCTCCCCCGGCCTCCCCTGCTGGGACGCCTGTTCAGCCTTTCGAGCTTTGCCGTCCGATGCCCGCGATCAACGAGTGCCCACCGGGTCTCCAATATCTGATCCGTGGCCTCTTGGCTGGTCTCGGTTGTGGTCCCTGAAACACAGACACAGCGCTGGGACCGGAGCAGCGGTAGGGCCCCCCAGCTGGCACTGGGGAGACCCCGGGGAGGGTCCCCGCCCAGCCAGGCTGGGAGCCCGGGAGAAGCACCGGGCCTGTCAGTGTCCGGCAGCCCCAGCCCAGAATCCCCCTTTGCATTGGTCCCAGGCGGGCCCCGAGGCAGGCCGGGTGCCAATGCGCCGCTGGGACCCAAGGCGGCCGTGGGGGGGTGACGCTCCCTGCACGGCCAACGGGGGCGCCCTGAGCTGGACGTCGCAGGCTCCCCCGGGCTGGGCTGCCAGAGCAACCCCGTCTCCAATACCCCCCCAGGGATCCCCAGGACGGGGGCTCCAGGGCAGAGCCCCCCCGCTGGGCCGGGCTCAGTGAGCTGGCTGCCGCAGGCCCCCCCGGGCTGGGCTGCCAGAGCAACCCCGTCTCCAATACCCCCCCCAGGGATCCCCAGGACGGGGCACCAGGAAAGAGCCCCCCGCTGGGCCAGGCTCAGGGGCAGGACTCACCAGCGGCTGTTGTCGGGCACCATCCGCCTGGGCCAATGCCCCTTCAGGGGCTGCCCCCGCGCCGGGATCCTCCGCGCCCAGCGGCTGCGGCCGGACGCGCCCCGGCAG